CGATGCGGACAGTCCGTCGTCGCGCACCAACCCACGAAGTCGTCACCCCGCTTAGTCCTCCTGCACCCGTCAGGTTCGCCCGCGCGCTACAGTCCGTTGTAGGTTCGCCCGCGCGCTACTGCCCGTCGTAGCCCCTCGCGTCGACCCCGCGCATTCGACACCAGCTCGTCGGGTCGCCCGACTCCCACTTCAACTCATTTCTTACTACGCTCGTGAGCCGACCCTCACTGAACGCGCTACCCGGAGCTTCCAACAGCTGGTTAAAAGAGTTATCTAATCGCGCAGCCGAAATTTATAGTGTGCATGCATGCACGAAGAACACGGAATTGCAAGGACTTAGAAAGGAGATTAGGAGAGAAAGCGCCTACGTTCTGCATGGCCAGACCGCGGCGTGAGGGACGTAGCCACTCTCCACTCATCGATCCCAGCATGCAGGTCGCGGGGCTAACTAGGCGCATCAAAAGGGAAAGAGTGGGCGGGAAGGACGAAGCTCAAGAAGAAAGATACAGTTACAATGGCGCCCGCCTAAAAATTACAGTTACTTTCAAGATTAAGGGCGCCAACTAATAAGAGCTCCGTTGTAGCCGCAAAAAGAAGTGTGCAAGAAAGACAGCGCGGGGCAGAAGAAATCCCGAATTCCTGAATTCCTAAACTCCTAAATTCCTAGCTAATGCAAAAAGACATACTAATTCCGAAAAGAAAATCCGAAGTTTCGAGAGCCGTCAAGGGCTCGACAAGATTCGAAAAAGAAGTTCAAAAAGTACGAAGCAAAATTCCCGCGCGACCTCCGCGCCTAAAACCCGACAACAGAATCAAGAAAGAAGCGACGTTAAACATTACTATTTACGCCTTTGTCGACGCGATCGCCACTCAATTGGCCATCTTGGGACTTGCCCGGCCCTGAACCCAGCCATCTGAAAAGAAGCGACGAAAGAGAAAAAACGAAAAAGCGAGGACATCGATGCAATTTCCCTTCGATCCCAATCTCCCGTAATTGGCCCAACCTTCCCATCTTAGGATCCCTCATTGTCATCGCGCAGAAAATTGCACGGAGCAGAAATTGGTTCATCACATATGTGATGCCCAGGGGGGTCCAATCTTAAGCAAGCTCCTGCTTGCTTGAATTATGACACGTGTCGATCTCTCTAATGGATCGATACGCGAAGCTTTCTACGTTGCCACCAACCGTACAAAGGAGTGTGGAAGTCATTCAGGGTGGCACACGTGGCTCTATCCTATAATTTTCCTCAGTATGGGCTCTCTTCAGTCCGAGGAGGGGATCGTGCGAGCCGTCGCCGTAGCACGTGCCAATCAACCATACATCAATGTCCTAAGGGAAGGGGAAAGGGAAGACGATACATGGGGGCATGGCGAGGGGGTGGGTTAGTCGGGAGTGGGGGTAGAAAGCGTTCCAACCCCGCGATTGTCTCTGGAAGCTCCTGATATCGGACGATCTGGTGGAAGCGAGGGAATCGATTACCACTATGAGGGAGGGAGGCGAGATAGTCGGGGTAAAGGGTGGTGAAAGTTCGGAGAAGCGCCGTGCGGAAATGATCGTGGTTTTCTCACGCGGGGATGGTCCCCGTGATCACGCAATAAACCTCGATGATGTTGTGGCCTCGCCACGCAGCACTGAAGAGAAGGACGTGGAGGCAGAAGGCAGGGACGACACACCGGGTAGAAGGATGGGGATCAATCGTGACAGCAAGACGGGTGACGTAGAAGAAACGGAAACTGTCGATTGGGAAAGGATTGTTGGGGAAGGTGATGCGGGTAGTGATCTGGCGGAGGGTTAGGTGGTCAAGGGGACGACGAGATAAAGACCGGGGACGAAGCCCTATGCCCCGCATCCGTACGAGCTCGAACTGGTGGACAGGCTGGGGTGGAGGGGGAGGGGGATCAGCTTTGTCGTCGGCTGGCCGGTGCGCTTGAAGTCTCGGCAGCAAGGTTCCCATCTTCTGGCTTAGGCGGCTCCGGATCCTTAGCTGGATCGTTCGAGATTGGCAGATCTGCCTCGCTTGCGTATTCCAGCTGCTGCTTGCCGGCGGCGATTTCTTCTCTCTTTCGTGCGGCCTCGGGATCCTCCTCCGCGCCTTCCGCCTCTTCTCCCAGGGTTTCCCACTCAGATTCCTCTTCTTCCTCCTCGTCTTCTTCTTCCTCGTCGTCGCTCTTCTCGCCCTCGCTGTGCTCAATGTAACTTCCCTCTTCCAGGGTTTCTTCTTCTTCTTCCTCGTCGCCTCCCTCTTTGTCCTCTTCCTCCTCCTCCTCTATTGTTATCGCTTCGTCTTCTGAGGTTGTTCGAGGCTGAAAGAAAGCGCGGTCGATTATCCCCCGGGGATCCAGGTATGGTTGTTGCGATGGCGGGTTGTTGTTGCCCGCTAACTCCTCGAGGCAAGCCGACCACTGCAGGTAGGGTGTCAAAGCCTGTGAAAAAACACGAGGAACCGGGCTCTTGTCGCACTGTGAAATGATATCGAGAGGGAGATCATCAACCAGCTGTGTGAGGGGAATCGTGAGTTCCTGTACGATCTGTTGTCGATAGTCGGGACGCACCGATCCGAATAGAAATCTGAGAAGGTCTCCTTCCACCTCCGTCCTCCAAGCTTGGATGATCAACAACTCCACGTACGCGACCCAGGCGCGATGCTCTATGTCCCTCGTCCACATCAGTTGCACTCCAACCAAATACACCGAAAGATCGACGAAGTGCTCACACCACAGTTCCCATTGTCTTCGGTCGAGGAGGGGGACAGCAAGTGGTTCCAGACGGAAAGAGAGATGGGGGCAAAGGTCAGACTGCCAGAAGGTAGGAAAGAGAGAGGGGAGAGCGAAGGTAGAGAGTCGGGATCGGTTCATTGAGGACGCTGGAAAGGGACGAGCTCAGGAAGCACTACCGCGGGCTCGTGTCGAGACGTCCGGAGTCCTCCGACTTCGATGTCGTCCATGGGGACAAGATTATCGCCGCAGTGTGCAAGCCACTGATTCCACTCTCCTGCCAGTTGCTGACCCCACTCCCTTAGCGACGTCCGGATGGGCGTGTGTCGCAGAGGGCTGATTACGCTAATGTCACCGCTGAAGATGACGACGGTGGATACGTGGCTAACTCCTAATGCTGACAGTCGTCGAACCACCGTCGCCTCTGCCAGTACGATCGCTTGATGATGGCCGGTGAATCGGAATTCTGCCGCTGCGTATACCGTGATAGTGTTGAAGAACTGCGCGAGCCGTAGGAGGTCCAGACTGAATCGCGGATGACGAACTTGCCGAATTGCCGAGATGTTGCCATGTGGCGCCAGCATGTGATCGCCGAGAGCCCGCTCAGTGAGAAACCTCATGACGATGGCGATGAGGTCAGAGTAAGAGAAGCAGGAGGGGATGAGAGCGATACGGAGTCGTCTTCCTCTTCCGTAGCGAAGGAGGAAGCAGACACAGCTGGAGATGGAGAGGAAGGGAGAGGAAGTAGGTAGAACACGTGGCATACGATTGGTCGAGCCGGTCGGCTTCCCGAGACCTCCGGCATGAGGCGCACGGTGTTCACTCCGTTCGGGCCGAGTTCGATCACACGAAATCGCCCGAAGAATCGTGATGCTATCTTCCTTTGGCGAGCACATTTCCTCACCTGCACCAGGTCCCCTAATTTATACTGGGGCCGTGGTCCTCCGTTCCCATTTCGGGTTTCGTAGCTACGGACCTGTCGGTCGTGGGCCAACTCGGTCATTTTCTGGCGCTTCCGGGCTAATCGGGGAAGGGACCGTTCCATCAGTTTCATGTGCTGCTTGGCCTTGTCCCGAACCGTGGCTCTTGTGGGTCGTCGGTTCAATGAAGATTCATCGGGGAGGCTCGGTATCGAGACACAAGCTACACTATTGGTTCGTAATTGGAAGGGGCTAAGGCCCGTGAATTCGTGAGGCGTTCCCCGATGGACCGCTAGGATGTGACGTACGACATCGGGCCAGGGCCTCGGATCCGGTGCCGCGATGTTTCGTCGCAGTGCTGTCTTTATTACCCGATTTGCGTTTTCTACTAGGCCGTTACATTGCGACATGTGGGGTGCAGTGTTCCAAATAGCGACGCCATGTACGGCCAGGTTCCTCAAAACTTCCCCTCTAAATTTTACCCCATTGTCGGTCAGGATTTCCTCTGTGTCTTGGTGCATCCCTAGAAACCGGTTGACATATCGCACAATTTCGGCCGCCTGTCGCGTACGACACGGATACGCCTCGATCCATTTCGAAAAGTGGTCCACGAATACTAGTAGGATTGAATACTCGCAGCTATTCGGTCCAGGGGGCACCACAATATCGGTAGTATCCATGCTAACTCTCTGAAAGGGCCGTTCAACTACCGTCGGTACTATCGATCTTGGCGGGTGGATCGACGCCTTATCAGCAGCGCAGACCTGACAATTCGCAACGATGAATTTCACATCATTGTGAATATTGGACCAGTGCCACTCGTTCTTGTCGATTGCCGCTTTCGTGATCCGTACGACAAAATGAGTTGTCGTTTCCTCATGTGCCATCTTAACCCATTCATACCTCATGAACGGGTGCGGCACTACCATCCAAATCCCGATACCATCCATCTTTCGTTTTTCTAACCGGCCCTCGTTCCAAACGGAAGTCCTGGAGGGGGTTTCCTACCAAGGTGGCAATTAGAGCAATGTCCGTCCATATCTCGGCCCTTCTAAACTTCCGGGTCTTTTCCAACCCTTATGTCGTGGCGTCAAGAAATCGAGCTTCAGTCGGGATCTTATCAGTCCGACACAGGGGACACAACCAAGGCGTATCGCCATTTCTGTACTGCATGCACGAGCCATGGGCCCGTGAGACACACTGTCGACTCTATCCATTTTGCATACCCTTTCCCACTAGGGCGCACTGAGATCGAGTAGACGCGCGAGATCGCTTCACAAAAATAACAAAATTTGTCGGGCAGGGAGAGAAAAGATGAAGATGAGAGGGGAGAGAGAGGATTCGTAGGATTACCTCCGTCACCCATTGCCAATCGCCTGCTTCTTGCCACATGGACGAACTGCTACTTGTCCATACTTGGGTCCGTTTGCTGACTCCGGTTCCTTCCACGGAATGATTTCTTCGCCCTTTGGTACCTTAGCGGGGCGATGCAGACGTGTCAACCCGTCCGCGTTGCCGTGCCTCTCTGTCTTTCGGTGGATGATGTCGAAATCGTATTCCTGTAAGTGCACCACCCACCGTCCGATCATACTCGTGTAATTAGTGAGTTTCTTGAGAGCCAGTAATGGCTCGTGATCAGTTACAAAGAGAAACTTTTGTCCGTACAAATACGGATGGAAGTGTTGGATTCCCCAGACTATCGCATAACATTCACCTTGTGGGGCTGAATCGTTTCTCCGTCCGTCTAGCACTGTACGAGACGTGTACTCGATGACGTGCTCTCGACCGTCGTTCCCCTTTTGCGCTAGAATAGCGGAAATCGCCTCTGGCTGCCAGTCCGTGATGGGAATGAACTGCTTCGTAGGGTCCGGCCGGATCAAAATAGATGCCGCCGCCAAAACGCCTTTGAGGGTGGCGAAGGCTTGTTTGCACTCTGCGTCCCAACTGAGGGGCTGGTCCTTTCGCAGCAGATTCGTCAGCAGTCGCGCAATTGCAGCGAAACCTTTGATAAAACAACGGTAGTATGATGCCTGTCCCAGGAAAGCTCGAACTTGCGTCACTAACGTGGGGACAAGAGCATCTTTCACCGCCGCGACTTTCCTTGAATCTGGTCGCAGTCCTCCACGTGTCACCACGTTACCCAAGAACGAGATTTCCGAGAGGAAAAACTCGCTTTTCTCGAGCGTGATCTTGAACCCAGCATCTCTCAGAGCCTCCAACGTCCATTCGATGTGTTGTGCATGACCGTGAAAAGTCTCCGAGTAGACGAGGATGCCATCCATGTAGACGATGACGCAGAAGTAAATCATCCCCAGAGTGAGCCGTGTCTTGCTGATGAAGTTCTGAAATGTCACGTTCATAGCCCGTTGAAATGTGGCCGGCGCATTGCAAATCGCCATCAGACATCGAACCCACTGCCACGTGCCTTCAAACAATTCAAAGGCCGTTTTCGGCCGATCTTCCTCCTTAACCAGGATGTGATGAAAATCGTAACGAATATCAAATTTACTAAAATAATTAGCACACCCAATCGAATCCAACAAATCATCAATCCTGGGAAGGGGGTACACATCTTTGATCGTGATGTCATTCAGTTTATGATAATCAATGCATATGCGAATCGTCCCATTTTTTTCCGACACCAATACTATCGGGAACGACCATGGCCCAGTGGCGGGCTCGATCCAACCATTACCTTCGAACTCTCGAATCCGCTCGAGGGCCGTTTTTTGCTCTACCAGGGAATATCTGTAGGGCTTACAGTGGATCGGGGGATGATTTCCGGTTTGAATCTCGTGTTGTATGACTAACGACAGTCCAATGTCTGTGTCTGTCAGACTAATCGCTCCCTCGTATTCTTTTAAAATTTCCACCATGAGGTAGTGGATTTCATCAGGTACGTATTGGGGCACGTGCAACTCGTACAGCTCATCCCATATCCGCACATCGATGTGTTTCGTATTCACCCGCTTAGTGTTTTCGGGCGGGGGCGAGGAAATAAACGAATTGTCCGACCGCCAAAAGAATACCGTGATCATCATCTGTGCATCCTGTTCTCGGATGGCCACGTGTTCTTCCGGTGTTATTCCGTTTCGAATGTTCTGCCAAGGCACTGGTTTCGTCGCCATCTTAATTCCGAGTCCGGTTTCGAGGCGCTCAGGGGGTTCCAAAGAATTGGTTTCCGCCCTTAAGCGTATCAATCGTATCTCTTTTGCAGGCGTCAAAAAAGATCGTGGGAGGTTTGTGATGTCGCAGTAGTGCCTTTTGTCATTATATCGTGCGAGTAGAGGGGAGATACCTTCGTACAGGGTTCGAGGGGGTTCCAAAGAATCGACCATCCTCGAAATCTGTACGAGGGGTTCTCCCATAATCATAGCTTGCGTTCTCTGTAGACTCTGATCAGTCAAGTTTAGCGATTTTGCGTTTGCTCGTTGCATAGGGTAATGGATATGTTGTTGTGCCATCTTCAGGACCACTGGATCATCCTCGTCACTGTTGTCCGTGTCCTTTGACGATTGCCCGTCGTCTACTAAATTATCCCAAGTAATCACGCAGAGAGTTCTTGCCAACAGGGGAGAAACTCGCGGAGTCACGTTGGTGGTGGTACGAAGGGTCAATCTCATCGGTACAACATACGGTTTTCCTCCTGTATTTCGGAGGACAATCGATCGTCTCTAGAAATCCAGATTGGCTCTCAGGGCCACAAGAGCGGGAAGGCCAAAAAGGACGTCGTAAGTGTTTACATGTAAGACTACGACATCTCCCAAAGCATTTACCTTCCCTAATCGAAAAGCAACATTGGTCATCCGTCCCACCGTTTTAATCTTCTGCTCATCTGCGGAAACAAGTTGATCTTTTTCCGTAAGCATGATTAGATCATTCTTTCTCCCTGCTTTTTCAACTACCCGTAACGAGATAGCCATAACAGCGGCCCCCGAATCGATAATGATATTGTTCGGGATTCCCCATATCTCGATATCACATTCGGCGGATTTCCAGGGGATCGGCTTAATCCATAGGAAGTGATCATCTTTCTAGATTAATCCTAATCGTACCGGGTCTGAAGTTCCTGCTGCATTTTCATCTGGCGTGGGATTTTTCGCTTTTGTGCTCGTTGTTCGGACAAGGGCGAATCGTTTTCAATTCGCTTTGCAGTGTTGCAACATTCGTTCGTTGGCTTGTTCCGAAATCGAAAGTAGATGACCGATCGGAAGGGGAATCTGATGGTCCAAGGCTCAAACGATGTTTAAAACATCGATTTCCCCTGTGACGAAGGTGGGTCCCCCCGACTCGATTTCTCCTGGAGAAGGTCGCCACTCCACCACCTCTCTCTGTTCTGGCGCGAGTCTAATCGTTCCAATCATCCCAAGCCCTGGGTAGCCAAGCGTTATGTATTTATCCAATGGGATTAGTTCAGCAGCTTCCTCCATCGTAGCTAATGCGCTTCCAACTCCTTCCATTTCTTCCATTAATGCCCCTACTCATCCAGGTCCGTTGGCAATCGGGGCCGCTGCTACCGGTTCGGCTCCGACTCGCTGCTGCGGGGGTCGATGAGGGCAATCTCGGGCTATATGCCCTGGTTGGTGACACATGTAACAAACGTTCAGATTGCCAGGGATCCCTGCGGGAGGGGGTGCCGGAGCCAATCCGTGTTGGATCGGGGCGGCACGCACCGCTATTGGTCGCATCGACCTCATCATTGCTTCTATTCGAGCGTTGTGTTCCCGCTGTTCCTTTTTACTTTCCTGAATCAGAGTAACCAATGTCTTGGTTAGTTCTAATAGGGCGGAAGACTCATTCGGTCGTGAGGGGGTTTCGATCGGAGGTGAAGGTGCTGTCATCACCGGTACGGGCACGCTCGTAATCATACTCGGGACCGGTCGTTTGGGACTAATCTGCTCCAGATAGGTGACAGGGCCCGACACAAACCCCATGTTTTCAAATTTGTTCTGCAGTGCAGCCAACTCAGCTTTAGCTCTTGCTAGCTCGGACGAGTCTCCTTCCCTAGGATAGTCTTCCCCTTCTAGAAAACTCGCATCGAATTTTCGTTCCATTTCTTCTGCAGTTGCTATGATCTGTTGCAGCGTGTGGTTGATGGGGGAGAACTGTTTTCGCAGTTTCACCCTCATCGTTCGGCTGCGAAGTTCATCGATGAACAAATCTCTGCCTACCTGTTCGCCTCGTTTTGTTTTCACAAACATCCTATAGAATCAATTCCGATACTCAGTGACGGACTCGAGGGGTTTTTGAACTCGATCTTTGATCATAAAGAGAGTTTGTTTTGGGTGGATGTAATCGAATCGGTTCAAGAAAACTCGCTCGAATGTCAGGAGATCGACCCATACATAGGTGCTAAGCCAGTGATGGGCATCTTCTCCCAGTCGTGCAGGGATATTCACCTGTGCTTCGTTGTCATCATACTGTCGAGCCTGAAGCGTGGCTAGCCATGCTCCAGCGAGATGATGTGCAGGGTCGAATAGATAAAGTTCGGGTGACGTCATAGGAGCCCGTGCTCGTGGTATGGGTTGAGTAGGATTCTGCTGGGGATTCGGGTTTTGTTGGGGGTTCTGCTGATTAGCATTCATGTTGACTGTCCGTCAGGCCGTAGATCGGCTTCTAGTGACGACGGGGTCGCGTCGATGCGCGTTCCGCGGTCGAGGTCATCCACTGGTAGCGAGATCGCCCAGCTATGAGTCATAGAACCCTGCCACATGTCGGGCTCTGATACCAACCTCACGCCCAATGCGACTTCCTGATCGGAGTGGGACGTGGGCCTGGAAGTGGAAAAAGGGGTGTGCCAAGGATTTTTGGGAAAGTGGGGGTGGAGTCCCCGGTCGGAACAAAGATCTCCTATGGCAAAGTTTCAGGGGTATAGATGCAATAGGGCTGAGGGACGAGTTATTTCCGGTCTAATGGCGGTCGAGGTCATGCAACATAAGGCAGATGGCATGTGCGGCGCATTCAAGGCCATCCGATCCGTCGGTTTTGTTGGCGGCGGTTTGGGGAGAGGCCCGCCCGGGATGGTTGTGATTCCGATGAGTTGGACCTTCGGTTGCAGACACGTGGCATCTGTCGTCGCATGTTTTGGTTAGGCCCCCTGGTTTCAGGGGCTTGTCGGTTGCCGCGTCGCCGACAATTTCCGCAGGGCGTGCGGGACCAATACGGGGCGATGGAATTCCACAGTACCACCGTAAGTTGGTAATAGGGGAGGAGGATACGGAAGGGAGGGATTGTAGTGATAACGATGAAGCCGGGGGATATGAAGTATTGCGTGTTATCCGTAGTGGGAAAATCGGGGCACCGCGGATTGCTGGTTACGGCACAGTGAAACTCCCTACCTTCTTACCCCGAAAAAAACGTATGTACGTTCTATTCGAATTACCCTAAAAAATCGAACTTTTAAAAATGACTCTTTTTTTTTCGAATAGAACGTATGCTCAAATACAACGTACGTATGTTGTCGAATACAACGTACGTACGCTGTATTCGGACTCTGTAGCATTTGAGACATTTTCCACTATCTAAAAAAATGTTCAAAAAAAAAAAAAAAAAAAAAAAAAGTCCAAGAACAATGCAATACAAACATCTTTTGCCTCAGAGTATTGTTGAAATTTGCTGCCAATTTARGGGGGGGGGGGGGGGGGGGGGGRGGAACGTATTTTTTTCCTCTCCCCACCGAAATTAGATGAGGCTGGGGTCCTTGTAGTCTACTTGGGAGTGAACTTGCTGGGAGCATTACCCAGTTTTGCTTACGGGAACTGACTAAGCCCCTTAGGGGACCAACCCCCTCCTGAAAAATGGAATAGACATAACAACATGTCTTGCCCTGAGCCTTCATGTCTCTTTTATTGTTTTTTTTTGTTTTTTTTTGTTTTTTTTTTTAAATCGAAATCAGCATATATTTCCAATCAAAGAGATGACGGGTGGTCCGGGCCTTCCGCCTCTCACAATAATGAATTGGCAGCTAATAGATGGAAAAATTCAGGACCAAATTTTGTTTTCAATGCATGTGGTGAGTGGTAGAGCGAGCCCCCTTCTGTGAGGCGTCTATTTCAGGGGCGAACTAGATACGGCTATAGGGCAACAGACGTACGTTGTATTTTGTATTCAAATACAATGTACCCCGCGAAAGGCCGCCGTGGAAAAGTTGTCCTCTAAAATTCGTTGCATAACGTACATACGTTGTATTCGTTTACAACGTACGTACGTTTTTTTCGGGGTGAGAAGGTAGGGCACAATCGGTTCTTGGTTAGGCAGGGGAATTCCGGGTATCTTTGCCTAATACATGCTCTCACCTAAGGGTCGAAGTACTCCGAGTCCCAAGAGTTCGGCATCTTATCATTCCAGTGTGATGGATGTCAGGTTCGTCAATAGTCGTGAAGCGGCACGCGTGGACACGTTGTCGGGACTGGTGGGTCCCGAATAACTTTCCATCACTCGAGAGATTGAATACGGACA